ATACAATAAGTCTTCCTCTCCCTTATGCGTCTTTCTCCCCCTGCCTTAAGGTCAGTATACATGCAATCAGGTCACATGTGAAGCAGTTTCCAGAGCATACAACATGTCCAGTTTCCAGGACAACTGACTTACAGACACTCACACACAAATACAAACACAAACATAACTATAAATAAATATATAAACATAAACATATACATACAGGGATAAGGAGAGGGGGGGAGAGAGAGATTCAAATGACACACCACACCCCATATCTTTGAGTTTTCCACCCTTCCTGGCAGAATGTTCCTTTGATTCAGGTTCCTAAGCAGCGCCTCACCCCTGGCCTGACAGCTAAGTGGGGAAACCTGCATGGTACCTGCATAAGCATTTATTTTTTCTTACAATTCATGTCTTCTGCAAGAAAGAGTCACATCAGGCCGTGAGAACAGAACTCAAGGACAGATTTACTGCTCAGGAGGTACAGGAAAAAAACTGACAAGCTTAATGATGGCAAGGTTTGTTAACCTCTTTGGAGAGCTATAGCATGTGAAAAAAAGCAACCCAGAATGCTTGGCTGGAAAGGCAGGGCAACAGGGATGTGGAATAACTCTCTGATGCCCCACAGAAGTACATTTTTTGGAACAGGCAGGACACCTGTAAGAACTTGGGCAAATAAAAAAGAAACTGCTCTGTTATAGGCCCTGGTGAACCAGCACCAGAAAAGATGGTCATAATCCATCAATAAACAGTCACAAGCTTTATTATTACATGACGGCATGTTTTATCCTGAAAGACTTTATAGACGAGCCCCTTCCTAAGCTCAGGCACACAGACGGCTTTCTTCCCAGAGCAGCGAAGCCCCAACACGGCTGCATCAGCATCGCCAGGACAGACCAGCGCGGGGCCTGACGTCCACGTGAGATGGGCACACACGCTCCCAGCTAAAGCAGGCAGCACAAACCACTTCACCGTGGGCGTATCAGACGCTAATTTATATACATGAGCAAGACACACGTGCTTTCTGGAGTGGCTGATTCAGCGCGTGTACATACGCGTTCCTACTGGTCCCAAGCTATGGCATATTAAAGCAATAAGTGAGAACATATGCAACAATGAAATGCACCAGTGCTGCTGGAGGAAGATAAAATGGAAAGCTGTGCAGTGCTTGGCTGAGCGAGGCTGACTAATGACTCTAATGTTAGTGGCTGCTGATCAAGAAATCAAACCCAGAGCAGTCCATCACGATCGTGGCAGGTGAGGGAAGATGAGCCAGAGCCACGGCTCAGGATACCACAAACCTTCCTTGCTGTTCCAAAACACAGTAGTATCTTCTGCATACAGAACCCCCCCCCCCAGCTTGTTTCAATGCATAGTCAAATTCATCAGAAACCCTCTGAAATAGGATCCTTTGTTACACAGTTTGTTGCCAGATGATAAGGACATTTTTGGGCAGTGTGTTCTCAGGAACACAAATGGAGAATGACGTGATGGACACAGCGTGTCAAAATAACAATCCTCATTTAAATCTTCACGTTAGAGACATCTTACATCTCAAATGTCAAACATGCCGAATGGATTGCCTGCAGAAGCCGATTCGGGGAACATCAATTGTTCTGAATTTCAGAGTATTAACGTGGGGGAAAAAAAAAAGAACCGACTTAAAACTGTATCAGAAATCTTTACAAAATCTGACACTTTGTTCTTGCTATTTCTTTACCTTTGTTTGCACTTCAAGGCCACATCCCCTTTGTCACCTGGACCACAACAGCTGATCTGACATTGTATGGCATGCAGTTGACCTGACTGCCTGCACGGTGCCCCCCCGACTCGAGGGACGGTTCCTGCTCCTTCCCAGCAAGGCTCTGAGTAGGACCACACCGCTGCTAGTGTTCAAGAAAGTAGAGGATCAGGCTTCAAACAGAAAACTTCTGAGAAAAGAAGTAAGCACATCTGTTGTGTAATCCCAGAAGAAAACAGGAATCAGACTCTACTTTCTAAATGTCTCACCCAGTTCTGCAGATCGATGATATTTATTCATACAATGCAAACATCAGAAATGCCAGGGCTCTGATCCTCACTGATACCAGGGTACGCATTCCTTTTAACACTGAAAATCTTTAATCCCTTTGGAGATCTGGGAGGAAGTATTCAGCTACACCAACCACAAAACCAGTCATGGCGTTATTAGTTATTAGCCTTTTCTTTTACAAAACACAGAGAGACACAAGACAAACCCACTATTTGCTGAAGATAGTGTCAAAGGAAGCCTTAAGAGGGACAGTGTCAGCAAGGACTAAAGGAACTTGCCGTTTTCATGCGGATGAACAGTCCTGCAATCTTATGAATGGGCTGAACAGACATGTGGATCCAAACACCATCAATATGGACTGGTTTGCATGCCTTGCAAACTGGACCGAAACAGAAATCAGGGTTGCAGTACATGGTTTGGAAAGCTGGTTACAAAACCAGAACCTGTACCAAACCAACAAAGATATGTGAAAAAGTTTGTTCACTAGTCTGACTTCTCCTTCCTTTTGAAAAAATACCTTAAATTTTCTACAGCTACTAAGTTCCATCACGGGTGCTTTCAAATCTCAATTCTAAGTACAGACTTCCTGATTCTTTTCATCAATAACACTCACGTGTTCACTCTTT